ACGACCTGTAGAGAAACAACGAAATTTTACAACGTAAGATTAGCAGGTTTAAATCACGTCATCGATGCTCTTTAAAAAGATTCTCGGGCTAAACTTCCGTGTTTGCGACGCTAGATGGCGGTGTTCAGGGAATTTAGAGAAAGAGCGGTGGGGTGGTTAATGTTATAGAAAGCGAAGGGATGTTCTCGTGGCTTTAAGGATGATAAAACGGGGGATTTTCTGGCGGAACGAAGGCTGGACGTGCCGGGGAAGGATTTCCTCGTAAAAAAGAAAAAAAAAAAGAAAAAAATGAGGAGGTAAAAAGTGAAAGTCGAGCCGGCTCTTTGAATAAACCCGATGTTTGAACCTGTTTCTAAGCCACCCTGATTAGTTCTCTTTTAGACCGTGTAAAAAAAAACCTCGTTACGGGGTAAATATGAAACGCGGAAAGAAACTCTCTCTCCCCTAATAAACGAAATAATAACTTTGCCGTGAACATTTTTTATCCCAATAGCTGATCCTAACTCTGCTACCCGGTTATATCCCGAGTGATTCTACGCGTCTCTATTTTCTTCCCTTCAAAAATGCGATCAAATGTGATCGTGATTCTTTCAATAATGGAATAAAAAGTATATTGAAAAATCGAAAACGCGTTCGTACGTAATCTTTTCTCGTGAAACAATCCTCGAACGAATCGTCCAAAAATTGAGATTAAAATCGAGACTCTACGCTACTTCATTAACAGGTAACGAATAACAATAATTTCACCCCGTAAAAAAGTTGCATATCTGATATATTTTCATTCGTCGATTTCCCCTCCTGGCTCATTGATACAAAGGAAGGATCAGGAAGAGTTCTCTCGAGAATCGGGCAGGATTAATCAATGTGTCCAGGATAGAAGCTGTATTTCCCTGCGCGGAAACTGTAGAAAGGAAATCTAATAACAGTGTGGTGGAAAAACGGAAGGGGGAAGGATACTCACCCGAGGAGGTAAATGGCCGTGACGATCCCTGCGATAACGAAGCCGATGACCAAAAGCGAGAAGATTATGCTTCGCCAGTTGTGGCCACCCTCCGCGTACGTTAGATCCTGTGAACAGAGCCAGAGATCCTCCTCGTCAGCGATCGATCGATCGATCCAACCCCTTTACTTCCTACTACCACTATATCGAATGCACAAGCCCGCATGCATGCAATCCGAGAGAAGATGGGGAAGAACGAACGTTCACACGATTCAAAGACGGTCCATGCACGGTAATTGGTTTGTTAGTCGATCCTTGCACCCGATCTTATTTTTGTTCTAGCCGGAGACTTTCCTCCCTCTCCCTCCCCTCCCCGTGGATGTTAAGATGTGGTGGATAGCTCGTGGAATTTGTCAACCTCTTCTCAGTGGCTTTCAAAGTAATCTCAACAATTTTTACTAAATCCTATTAACCAATAACACGTTAAAATAATAATACATATATATATATAATTGCAATAAAATAACCAAGTGTTCTCGCCGGGTTAACGTAGTCGTTGAGGACTAGTTCGACGGTGGTTATCGAGGTATTATTAGTGACCTGTGTCTCCCACGTGAAGTATCGTGTCCGAAAACGATTTCACACGATTCATCAACTGACTACGGACTTACTCTGCACTCGTATTTATATTTTTACAAAAGGTTGCCAATCAACTGACAAAGGATAGAATGTAATTATAAAAGGATGCTATGCAAAAAATTCTACGATACTTTCGTTACCGAGGAAAACAATTTAATCTCCTTCCAATCACGCTTATTTTCGACGGTGTCCGTCAAGAATATCGAAGGGTCTCGGATGTTATTGCATTCAGCAGCTGTTCAGCACGGTTAAGCCGGATAACACGCGTCGCGCCCTGTGTAACACACATAGCGGTGCCGACTGGATTTTCGGGACCTGTTTGAATCGTCGAATACGCACACGCGTGTTTGCCCCCCCTCGAGGGGGTGGAGTTATTGATTCGCCCCTTCCTCCCCGTAAACGCCCGCTAATCCGCCCGATACGTGTGGGCGTATTTCACTCGTTTCTCGATCAATGTCACTTTTCAACCTGTTCCCTTCTCTCTAATTGCGTTGAGAAGAAGAATTAATATTACGAGATTAATTTGTACCGAAGAAAGGTGAGAAGTCGTTGACTGTCGGATCAAGTCGTCCCGAAATTTAAGAAAACTTCTCCTGCCTCGAAGAAGAGAGGAACAACGATGGAGGAAATCTTCCATGCCTCCTCCCGACAAGATAATCGACGCTGTTTATCGCCTTCGTCTCATTCCTTCCTTTCCCTTCGCCCAATTTCGTCTCCTCCTTCTTTTCTTCTGTTTCGATTCCACTCCCCTCCCTCCACCCGCGAGCTGATCGATTCGCCGCCTTTGAATTCCGGGCATGCAGCCGTGTGCACGTGCACACCCCCGGCGGAAGGATACACGTATAATGTTTTCGATACGCAGTATCGAGGATGCATCACGATGAAACGTGACCGTCCAATGTTTATTTGTCTATCTGCTCGCCTCGATGCGTCCTCCTCCACTCTGGATCCCAATTGTTTCTTTCTCGTATAGACTTTCCACCCTATTGATCATCCGTGCAAATGTATCGCGGTTAAATTGACGTGTTCGGTGGATGGGACGCGCATTTTTTAAACCGCCATGTCATTTCATTGTGGCTCGATCATCGTGTTTGAAATCTTTTTTGGAGAAGAGGAGGATTTGGGTCTTGGGGTTGGTTAGTTAGATTTTATTCGCGATTTGGAAGGAATGTGCGGACAGTTTGCAGTTAAGATTGCATTCACGATTCTTTTTATCCCACTTGTTAATAATACGAAATTTTGAGAAATCTATTACGCGTATATTGGAATGCCGTACAGAATCGCCCAAATATCATTTTTTATATTGGAAATTTGATTTCTCGACCTTACGGTTCTCATCCTCGGATTTCCAGCGTATGTCTCTTGGGTATATTTCGTGTGACGCGAATTCTGATGTATCGATCGAAAAGTCAAAGTTCCTGTCTGGATAAAATAACACGTAAATTTCGATCCGCGTCGATCTGCAATTAATACGTATCGTAGTTGAAAATTAATTCCAAATTGGTGAGAAAAAAAAGTAAATAAGTAAAATGTATGCACGAGGCTTACTTTTTCAAAACCAATCACCATAAACTCGATAATTGTACGCATTAATATAAGCCGCGTGTCAAGGAAAAATCCATCTGGAGTAAAAAAGGACGCGAGATTGCTCCATCGTGGATGCATTTTAAGATGCGTTCACGCGAGAAAGCCGACACCACGAGCGTTGGAAACGTGTTTCCAAAGTTGCGGCAAACACGTCGGCCGCGCTTCGCGTGGAATGGTAAAATAGCGATGTTACAAGTAGAGTGCCCAAGGAAAATATATTCCTCGATCGTGGTAAGGGCAATAATCGTATATAAGTATTCCGTGATGTACTTGGAATCGATAGAAAAATAATTTTACGTTGAAAAATTTATCTTTCTTTCGAAGCGATTTCTCTGAATCGAATCTCTTGATCGAGATCTCGATAGAGCAGCCTGGATCGAAACAATCTGATTTTGAAAATAACCTTGTCGAAATGGAAAACTATATAATCTTCCCTTCGCTGTAATAAATTTGAATTCGAATGGAGCCACTCTATCTTATTACTCCCATCTTCGAAGATGAAACCGATTTAAATATAATTCATACCTCATCCGTTTCTCTTATTCAAATTGCGTCCCTCGTTACGAACGGTGTCCACTGTTCAGAATTCAGGGGAGGACATTGAAACTTTCTCCGTTTTGTTAAGCCATTACGTACGTCCTCCACTTCCTTAATTCCTCTTCTCAAATTTTATAAAAATTTCGTGGAAAATTTTTCCGTTCATCCGTTCCCTCTCAATATTTTCTTAACAATTTCTGAGGATTTCTGAGGATATTTTTCAAGTTTTTCATATTCATATTCTTTTATTCTATTATTTTTCTCGATAAATTCTACAAAAATCCTCTTTTTTCAAGATTGGAGAAGAAACGGCGCGAGCAAAATGAGCTTCGGCCGCGTTAAACAGCTAATTCCAAGGTAATTCACGCGTGTCACGTTTTCGTCCCCGTGATGCATCCCGTGATCGGCCTTCCAAAGGGATTTAGACGTTTTCCATATCGAGTGGCCTTCCTCGACCGACGCTTTCTGGTTTATATTCCATCAACAACTCGGCCATCTTCTACGTGCACCCGGCCAGAAATTGGAACCACCGATTCTCGCATGCGAAATGCCTTCTTTCCCGACTGTTCAACGACGTTCAAAAGTGAGCACACACCTTTATAGTGTCGCGTTGATCGTTGGCTTCGAATTTAATCGAGCACGAGGGGATAATGGGAACGATGGATTTCTCGTCATGGTTTCTTCGATAATGAACTTCGAGAAAATATAATGCTTCCTCTGTCGACGTTTTTTTTATTACATACACTTTTATAACGAACGTGAAGGATTTTCTAAATGGTGGTGGAGATTGTTTCGATTAAATTAAATTAGGATGACCCAAATATCGTGTAGCATATCATCAAGCAAAACCTCAAGCTCTATATACGGATTCAAGAAATGTGAGCACGATTTCGCAACAAATCTCGAACCGCAGCCGTTCCCCGAAACCATTTCACACGCCGAACTTCGATCTACTTTCCAACGATATTACATTCCATCTACAACCACCCCCGCAAACGTTTCTTATCTAATCCAATTTTTCATTTCCCTTCGTTCGACACCTCGAATCCAATTTCCATCCGAGCAAAACAACCGAGCCTCCAGCGTCCACACTTTTGCAATATATAACTTCCGCCGCTTCACGTTGCACATAATATAACGCGCTAATGTTTGGAAGAAGTAACGCTTTCGACGCCAAACTCCCTCGGCTCGTGGCCGCCAAACTTTTCGAGCAACTAACTTTAATCTCTCGTCCGCGTTTTCGGATGAAATGCTCGGCTTCGCTGAGAAATTAACCGTGCAATTAGCCGGTGTGTGGATATATCCGTGGAATATATGTTTGAGAGGTTAAAACAAGCGAAAAAGTCAAACTTATTTATCGAGTTTACAACCGTTATCGGTTTAAGCTCGAACGAAGAACAGTTTCGATTGACATAATCGACACGAATTTATTCATATATATCCCGCAGGAATTAATTCACGTTTTATTTGTTCGCGTAAATTCTGCATAAATTCTTGGTTGGATCGAGAGATCGAAAATATAAATAATCGTCCAAATAATATATTCGCGCCAACTTCTCGTCACAGATCGAATCTATTTTTGATACGAGCTTACTTTAATTCCGCTGTGTGTGTCCAGAGCTGCTATACTTTCACGTCACATAAAGAGATCAAGGATTACCGAGGACATCCGGGGCCCTTGGATTTGGGGCGACGATTCCTCCTGCACGAATTGCAGCGTTATCGATCCGCCTGTTGGTTATTTACCTTTTTCTTTCTTTTTTTCCCTTTCCCCTATTTTTAGAAAAATGAGAAATCCTCTCGTGCATTTTGTCGCGATGATATATATATATGTGTATATATAAAATTCTATACGATCGATAGATCACAAGTTCGGTGGTTTAAGGCTCCTGCAATGGTGTTTGAATGCTGCACGTTCAATTTGAAAGAAAACGAAGATTTCGGGGGAAATGGGATAAAGATTGGGAATAAAATAAGGAAGGAAGGAAAGTGTAGCGTTTATGCAAATTCGTGTTTTCACGCGCGTGGATCGAAATAGAAGTTCACCTTCTAAATGTTTCACTTTGGGTATTTTAGGTTTTACGTTTGTGTTTTCGTTTGAATTTTATTCTGAATCTTTAAGAATCTTTGTTCACGAAGAAACGGTGAACACGAATTGTATAAATAGAAAACCAACTTAATGAGAAAAAATTCATTCACCTGATGTTTCTCAAGAAGTTCACAACGATCTGATGAAATTTCACTGCGAAAACAGTGGCGTTATTAATTTAAGAATTACGAGAGTGGATTATTATAGGAATAAAAATCAAGGGGAATCAAATTTACCATAAATGCAGCACAAACATCCGCAATATTCCAATATTAATTATCCGCGCGTTGTCATTTATTTACGTTACGCGTATAAATCGCGTAGAAATAAATTGAACGCGAACGTGTTTCTCCACGCGTTTTAAATTTCGATTCGCAATGTTTATTTTGAAACGTTTGACTCTTGACACCTGTCAAATTCTCTCTCAACTTCTCCTCAACATTGATTCGAAACAGGTTTCAATCAAGGCCTGCTATCCGATGACGAATAGCCTGAAAAAAACTTGAGTTATTAATTTCAAATTCTTCCCCTTGAAACGTTTTGTATCCATCTATTATTTAACACAACGAAAAAAAAAAAAAAGGAAATTAGACGTCTAATCTAAAAGAAGGATTCCACGCAATCTTCCGCGTCACATTATTTCTTCTCAAACTCTACGAAACTCTTTCGAAACCAGATCTATTTAATCGGAAATAAAATTCCACGAGACGAGTAATTGAACGTTCGTTAGGAAACGGATGATCCATGCGAGGAGATGAATCTTCCCCGTCGAATCTCATTGACGGTTGAACGGAAAATTCCTCGAGATAATCTTTTTATTGGCTGGCGAGAGTATATCGGCTTTATCGGTATTTCCACGAGTTTTCGGAATTATATATACGGTCCCCTCCTCCTTGATCGAAAAATTTTGCATACTCTCATTTCGAAAGGATTCTCGCAGGGAAATACATCGATCGATTGAAATTTCGCGAATGGATGGACGGGGAGAAATTTGCCGCTAATCGAACCGGGCTTGTTATCCTCCGAGGGAGAAAGATCGTTGCGCAGGCCACTCGTGGAACACTTGAGAAAATACTGACCCCGTGGCTCCTGATTCGATGATAAAAGTAAGCTCGCCGAGGCGGCGTTTATAGATTTGTGCAGTTAAATTTGTAACCCGCCGAGCTCATCCGCGTCTTTATTTCCAACGATCGTATATTTTTGCTAACTTTAACCCAATTGAAGCCTTCTCGAAAGAATAATTCTCGACCAATGTTTTGGATTATAATACGTGCGTTTCGAGGTCAATACATTTTTCGATATATATTTTGCAGCGACATAAGGTGATAAAATTCTGAGAATTTTGCAATTCAACATTTTTCCCCATCTCTGTTTCATTGTAAAGTTGCATTAATAACGAACGAAAAATAAATGTATGGAAGAAAGAAGGAGAGGATCTTTTGGTAAAGTAAAAATTTGTTGTGTATACAACTCGGCAGTCATAAAACGTGTGTTTATATTCGACGCGTTCGAATATTTTCGCGAAAATTTTAATGCGCGTTAAAAGCACCGAGATTTCCCGATTAGATCTAATTTTGGATCACATTGCGCACACGCTGAAAACACGTTCTAATCTATCACTGTCCATCGATATGCAAAGTAAACGGATTATCTTCGAGGACTAATAATTCCTTGCACAAAGTCAGCAGCCCGTCGGAAGACGTTAATCCGTCCAACAGTAATATCGTGTGGACGTGGTTTCTGTTCTGTTCGACGTTAACGAGACAACCTACTGCGAAAATGCTGGTACGAGCCAGAATATTGAGCAATAACAAAGAATCTTTTGAATTACGTTGCGTTTTCGACGAAATCGACGAGCTATTCGAAATATTTGTTTTCACTCCGTTAAACTCGTGTTGCGTATATCCATATATGTATATCCATTGATGAGAGATCGCTGTATTTATTTCACAATTTATTTCATTTTTCCAACATGGAGTAATATTATAGATAAGTAATAAAAAGTTAATACACGTTCAATCATAACGATTGGACGGATGCTTGTTCGTTTATGATAAAATTTATAAAGATATACGTGAAGAAATGCTTAAGGAGAGGAATAAAAATAAAATGAAATGTTGTAAGACTCGTTTAAATACTCCTGAATATGTATGTATTGTTTCAAATTTTCAATTAAGAAACGAATCGATCGAACAACAATTTAACGTCGACTTATCGATTCGTCCGACTGAAAATTTAAACAATGAAAAAGATTCGTGACCTACATAAGTCACATTCTCGGAGACTTATACACTCGATCGATTTCTAAACCCTCCGTTTACGTTTTCAAAAATATCAGCATGCACAAGTATCCCCTCCTTCCAACCAAAAAAAAAAACAAGTAATAACTAAGTAAAAGTTTCAAAGTTTCGAACTTTCCACGAAATAACCAAAAAAAAAAAAAAAAAAAAAAAGAAAGAAACGAACGACCATGCAACGCACGATTATAGAACGTTGGAAGGTTGGAAAAAACATGGCGTTAAACACGAAGCACGTAGAAACAAGAAGAGCACAGAAGATTACACCCAAGACAATAATAACGAGATATCGAACGAAACTCCCTCCCCAAACAAACGGCACAGATCTTGTATATAGCAAATCTTGGAAGCGCGATTCGATCGAAATTTAATATATCGAAATAGCTTGCTTATCTTCCGACAAATTGAGCGGCGTATTGGCCATCGCTGTCCGCCTCCAGAACTGCTGGAACTCCAGAAATAGAAGCAACGAGTCAACGCAACGTTTCACAGGCGGGGACGATTAGAACAGCGACCACGCATCGCCCCCTCTGGCAAAATTCGCGTGTTGCAAAGGCGGATAACGAGCAACTAATCCTTCGTCATCGAGCAGCAAGCCTCGACTGAAGAAGAATCTTTCTGCCAGACTTTCTGGCTCATTGCCCTTCCACACCTCGGTCTTCTCTTTGTCCCCACACCGGTGTGCCTCTCTTAACGTGTTATAAATTATATACACAGGCTATAAGCTCTCTCGTGTAGTGGAAATCGTTCACAGCAACTCTCTCTCTCTCTCTCTTCTTTTCCCCTCTCCTTTTTCTTCACCTTCGAGGCGATGAATCGCGGGGATCGTGGACAGAGAGGATCGATAGAGCGAAGCTGATTGTGTTCGAATGACGATGGGAGGAGGAGGAGGAGGAGAGTATCGATTTCGGGTGGAATATCGATTTTCGGTTACGTCACGGTTTTGTTTAATCATCGGGGATCTCGGTCGAACGTGCGGATAGGTAAAAGTGCAATAACAATGTTGGAGTAACGATGTTTTGATTCTCTCTCTCTCTCTTTTTTTCTTTTTCGCGACAGGTTAAGCAAATTTGCCAGCCTTTCGCAGATGAATTAGCGGTAGACGGTTAATGGAAGTGTGTGCGGATATAGCGAGGATATAAATTAGCGCTTGGAAATCCTTGGATGAAATTTTCCGCAAAGTTAATTTCGACTATAAATAACCGTGACGGTATTTTTCAACTTTTTTTTTGAACCCCCGTTTCGTGATCAACCAAATAACCCGTGAACCTTTTCCCTCGCCGATTTGCATTAAAATCAGTCGGTTAATAATAGAACGGTTGTAATAAATTCTCCTAAAAAAAAAAAAAAAAGAAAAGTTTCGTAAAATATATATATATATATCTCTTAAATGTCATTATCAAATTGATATATTTCCCAAACTCCTACGTTGCATTGGTACAATAAAGTTTATCTATAAAAATCTCGTCATTTCATCGTATCTTCCAAAATTTGGAAAAGAAATATCAACGATAATCAAACTCACGTGGATCAGAGAGAAAAAGGAATTAAGAAAATTGAGGGAAATGAGCTCACCAACGTTCCCTGGAGCCGCGCGCAAGTTTTCATCGTGGAGGAAGAGGTGAAGATCAGCACCGTTCAGCCCGAAAGACAATGTCTAACTGGCTTGCCTTTTCACCGCTTGACGAGAGACCCTTCTCCGGTCGCCCGTCTCTTTTTGCCCGAGCCAGAATGCTCAAAGGGGTAACATATGCCGATTCTCCCCTCGCGCGGCTGACCCTTCAGGGGTCAGGAGAGCACTCGGTGAAAGGGGTCGATAATCGAACGAGTTCGCCTCATCCGCCGCCTCTCCCTGTCCCGTTACCTTCCCACAACACCGTTGAAAAAAAAAAAATATTACGCGCCTGTTTAAACGATCTCGAAAGAAAAAAAAATCGCTCACAGAAAGAAGCATAATCTCGTCGAATCTCGAGATCTCCTCTAAATTCAATTTTATTCACCGTTCGCGGGCCAAATTGAACTCTTGCGTCAATAATCATCGTAATTCTTTTCGAATTTGAATATCGTGAGTTATTAGAATTTTATAAATTAAGGAGGTTCGGATGTTTCGTGGCTCTTTGTTGAGAGAAGAAAGGGAGGATAGAATTGTAATTGCGTGAGAAATGAAGATTTCGATTAATTTTGCTCCTACGAAAAATCAAAACACTTTTTTGATTTTTCCTTTTTTTTTTTTTTTTGTCAAGAGATGTTCCAATCGGAGAGTAATTCAAAGTTTAACATTTTCATCGTGGATGAAAAACGCGCGTGGAGAGGCGATATCGACCAAACAGAGGGCACCACTGTTCCACAAACGAACATCCATCACGGAAGAAACCCTCGCTCTTCTCTTCGTTTCCCTTTCATCGACACTTGTCCAACAATCTTCCAACGAGCTTCCATCCACCGATTATCTCTTTCAATTGTACCCATCAACCGGTTCAAAGCGAAAAAACAACGAGGAGAGCTTATCAGATGCGAGGCTCAACGGTTGACGCGCACGATAAAACGATCGAGCCCCTTTTTCTTTCGTTTTTTTTTTTTTTTGTCTTTAGCTTCCCTCGCGTATCCTCTCCGGACTCAAAGAGATTTAGAGCACACCCGAGTTGGCTGCGCTATATTCTCACTTTCGCTCCCATCCCGTTACGATTAAGTTATTCCATAGTTGGCCTTGGTCTAGCGCCCTCACTTTTCGTGGACGACAACCGTGAAACGGCTGGTTTGCAACCAGTCTGAACAGTGCGAAAACTGGTATCTCGCTTCGCAGAAAGATTTCTTCTGAGATCGAAATTGATTTTTTCAGAAACGACTCGACCTACGTGGCTGGAAAAAATACGCTGATACAAAGTTTTAAAAGAACCATTACGGTATACACATACGATGTATACAATAAAGATGCACGAAAAAAAGATATACCGAGTGATATTTTATAGCATCTCGCAGGAAAAAGTAAGTAAGTTCCAACCAACGAATTCTAAATCTTATTTACCTCAGAACGGTATTTTAACAGGAGGAGGAGACAGCACGAAGCGCAAAGTACAAGGGATAAACTGTCGCGTTAAATTATGGAACGCGTTGATGTTTCGTATAAAACTTCCAACTTAATTCTCTCTCTCTCTCTCTCTCTCTCCTTCGAACGTATCCCCTCTTTCGCGCTGTTTGGAAGAAACATTTTTCGCAATTCTGGGGAAAAAGAAGAAAATCTCGTTATCCAAAAAGCGGATTATAGCCGAGGTTGAAAATAATACGAGGTTGGAGAAGGAAGCGTCGATCGGAGGAGAAAATCGAGAGCTGTGCGGCCGTTTCGCGAAAATTGCATCGCCCTCGTTAATGGGTCGTCACTGTAACGGCGCTCTCGGCCGTTAAACGCGTCGTTTTCGCGCGGGGGAATCGCCCCGTCAATAGGGCAGGAAAAGTCAGAGCCTGTCAGAGGCCACGACCAATTAGAGGTGTTCCCCGAAGGAGCGGGAATTCTCGAAAGGATTTTCCGCGATGCATGGGTAAATTGCTGTCTCCTCGACCTCCGGAACCCGCCTTTCTTCGAAAAAGATGGCCGAGATTGTTGGTTTCGAAGGTTTATCGTTAATTGATTTCTCCGTTTGAAAGCACGTGTATCGTTTTGAGTTTCAGTCGAACGAGATGTTATTATCAGCAACGACTCGTTCTCCACGTACGCTTTTATTATATCGTCGTACGTATAAATTTCGTTGCAATAAAATGTATAACAGAAAACGAGGCACAACTTGTTCCTATAAACTATACACTTTCTGAGAAATAACACTTTACACACTTTATTTTCTTTTCCAAAAGAAGAAGCAAGACTTGCTATTGCTTGTATGACAAACAATTTTCGGAAGTGAATGAAAATTATTCGATTCCTTGTTAGGTCAGTAGGGGCGGAGGGAGTATTCATGAATAAATCTGCATATTCGTCTGAAAATTTGCCGATCTCCCCCCGACATTGTCGCGCGGCATGTAAATGTTATCCAAACACGCAGTTGTATGTTCCGACAGTCGGTATAAATTTAGATTTTCCCGCTGAACCCTTCTAGTTTTATCGATCCTGGCATTCCAGCGCCGCTTCTCTCGCCTCCCCCCGCCCCCCCTTCGAGAATCATAACCGTACAGTACACGTAATATCTACGAGACATTGGTGGCGCATAAATAGTGCCGTCCAACGAAGGAGGGAAAAAAATTGTAGGCTGCGGTTTCAGAAACGAGTAGCATTTCGATAACAATTCAAATTCCGTTTCCAAATTCCTTCCTTGCCGAGAAGTAAGAGAATTCTCAGAATCTCGCTTTGCCCTTCGAGCGGATCAATCGATGGAAAGCCTCTTGATAAGCCGTATTATCGAGCCATCAGCGTTTTTTTTGAATCGATCTCGGTTGTGCAATCGAGACGATGATCGGTTAATAAACGCCACTTGGCACGAGTGTACGGTCGGTCGATCAGTTAAGTGGTCGACAGGCTCGCGCGAATCAGCCGTTGCTGAAGTGGAAAGATTGGCGCGTTTCCGTTCGATTTCTGAGAGAAGTTGACTAAATCGAGGCCTACGAAACTTTTTCTAGCTTCGAAATTTCATTCTTTGGACGAAAATTCGAGAGTTGCTGAAATCGGTTTCTCGGTTATCCGCGACTTGTTCCTTTCTTAGGGTGGATAACCATCGTCCACACTGCATAAGTAACTTCCTCGAGGAGCCGTCGAAGGTGTCCTAGGTCGGCAGCGGCGAGTGAATTCTCACTGGTCGGTGACGAGAGCTGAGAAAACAAGGGGGTTGAAGCCAGCGGCTCTGCATAATGAATCCTCTCTCTCTCTCTCTCTCTCTCTCTTCCACCAATTCGGCTCGTAATTAGCGCTTCTCCTTCTCCTCTTTCAGAAATCCTTCAGAACTTTTTATCGAGTTCTCCTCTCAAACCAAGATCGAACGCTCTTGCGCATTTGCAAGTCTGATTCAATCGATGGTAAGTGGCTCGAGTGGCGCGTCGTTGGGAATTGATTAAGGCTTTTTAAATTTTTCTGTTTCGAGTGGAGTTTAACATTTGCTCGTTATATTTACTCATAATTTTGATAGATTTAATTATCGATATGATGGCGAGCAGGTGTTGAGAGCGTAACAGCATAATATTGTAATAAGTCTCGTTCGCTGTCGAAGCGCGTGCTTCGATAGTGGTTCTTGTCGATTTAGCACGTGATGCCTCGACACGTGCGCGATATTTCTTTCGCAGCTGTGGATATATCTTTATGAGATATCGCGTGTTTCCACTGGGAATTCGAGAATTAAAAAGGTTGATCACGAAGATTGTTTTGCGCGAACGTGTTACGTGAAGAGAGCGTGGGCTTTTAAATTCGTCATTTTATAGGCTAGTTTCAGTCGTGTAAAGTTCGGTGGAGAAAATTTAATGGCCGCGATGAAAATCCTGGCTTGTTGAAGAACGACGACTTAACGGAGTCGTTCGTTCATGCTCGTTTGCATTAATTGTTTTGTTAATTCCTTTAGATCACACCGCCACCCCGGAAACGGATGCAACGTTACTTTATTTTGTATTCAAGTACTCGTAAACTCGTGAGCTTCTTTCGAGTACGAAAGAGGGTAGTTAATAGAAACAGATGCACGTGCAATTTCCGGTTTTAACGCGCTTAATGTTTCTTCTTGTATTCTATTCTATCCTTCCGAGAGAAAATTGATCGCGATCGTTTTAATTAAAGAAAAGTGTTCTTTCTTTTTTTTTTTTTTAAGAAAATTTAAAGTTTCTTCGAAAAAATAGTTTCGAATTCCAAGAAGGGGAAACGCTCAACAAGTATAAAATATTTATATTAACGACCTGAATGCGAATTTTCCACTCGTGGAAATTGTGTCGTGTCACCTTGGAATTATGTTAACGCGTTACCTTTAATTGTAACGAGGCACGCTCTGTATTTTGTCGGTGGCACAGTAGTGTGCTGCGCGCTACATCGCTCACAAGTATTCTAACGCTCACAGCTATCAATCTCATTCCACCTCAAATGCAAAATCCTCGTACTAGCATGCGTTTTAATTACATTTACTCGTGGCCGGGATATTCTCCCGTGTTCATTGCTACCAGTCAACCACTATAATCGTGTTTACCTCTAACAATATCGTGAGAAAGACAAACAGAAACATTTATAAGAAAAAAAAAAAAAAAAAAATAATGCAAACTGCATCATGTACAAATAAATCCATTGGATTATTATGAAACCAACAAAAATGAAACGATATTCCGAAATCCTCTTGATCCGCAAATCATCGGTGTAACGAAAATCTAAAAAAAATTCCAAATAAAAATCGTTTCATTTTTATTTTCCACACGAAACAATCCCCCTCTAACCTGGGCTATGATGGTGCCAGACTTGATGCAAAAAATTCATCAAACTACGATCGGTGATTGTCGTATTTAAAAATTAGAATAATTTTAGACACAAGACATATTTACACTCTCGTCACGCACTGTTGACTCGTCGCAAACTGTAGGCCAGATCGATAACGACTAAATCGTTAATAACTAAACCAAACGCGTTGAAACTCGAAAATTGTAAATATTACGGAAATCCATAATATACGTATGTGCATATCTCTTCTCGATGCATTCGATTCAATGCAATAAGTCACATCGCTCGTGTTACCTTTCATCAATCTCCAAAGATCCTCGCCACTATACTCATATCATACTTGCTGGTAAGTTGGCGGAAAAAATACAGGATCTAGCGAGATGATTCAACCTACGCAAACACATAGTCAAACACAAACATACAGTCACACGCATTCTTATAATTGGCTAAACACTCGTCACATCTATTAACTACCATCAACAACATATACCACCAATGCGTATTATATTTGGTGAGTGCCAACTTACCAGCAACGCACAATACTTCGAACAGAATCTAATAGTCGTCAGCGACCGATCGCCAAACTGATCGACAGCGACTGGTCGTAACGACTGGTCATCAGCGACCGATCGACAGCGACTGGTCGTCAGCGACCGATCGACAGCGACTGGTCGTCAGCGACTGGTCGTCAGTGACCGATCGTCAGCGACTGGTCGTCAGCGACCGATCGACAGCGACTGGTCGTCAACGACTGATCGACAGCGACTGGTCGTCAGCGACCGATCGACAGCGACTGGTCGTCAGCGACTGATCGACAGCGACTGGTTGTCAGCGACTGGTTGACAGCGACTGATCGACAGTGCGTAACAAGGTTTCTTCTCATGCTTTGAGAACCTGACGAATTATCTCGACGAATCTCGTACACGACCTCGACCGGCTCTCACGAACGTTACGAGAAGGGGGGGGGGAGGGGGGAGACGAAGGATGGACCGCTGGAGCGATTTACCTCTTTTACCTGGGCTGATTTTGAACGGGGATCGGCGACCTGGACGGTCTCGTCGGGAGGCAGCCGCCAGGAGTTCCTCTCGATGTTGACGCTGGCGTTCATAGCGGCCTCCTCCTCCGCCTCCCGTGTCCTTCGTCGTTCTTAGCTGCCTCGTCCTCGCGCCAACGATTCCCCGAGGTCCCCAGGGTAACCCCCGGGCCACTCCTGGGGCCGAGGTCCTACACCACCAATCCACAGTTCCTCACCTGGAACGGGAGGGAGGGGGTTAAGATTCGTTCGATTTGTCCGATTGTCTCGAAGCGAATTGTTTGTTCGGAGTTGTGTCAAGTTTGGTTTGGTCTCGCGAAGAAGGGGGGGGGGGAAGGGGGAAGGGTATTTGAGATCGTGGACAAACAAAATATCTTTCTTCTCGATGTGTATCATCTCTCTACGAGTCTTGACCAATGAGTCTTTGCTTCTTGTTTTCCAAGTTTCAGAATTAAAATCTTCTTTTTTTTTAGCAGATCGAAAAGTTATCCGAGATCGCACGAACAACACCAAGTATAAAATTGTTGTGTCTTGGGCATCGATGCAATTTCATCCAGTGTTGTTTAAATAGTAATCAAAGATCGAGGAAACTGGATCGAATCAATAAAAAAAAAAAAAAATTCGAAATAAAATCTTATTCTGAGTCGATCGAACGAACCGGTTCGAATCGGTTTCCACGGCGATTAATATCGATCTTGGCTCGATAGAGTGGGGAGGAAAAGGTTAAGGACGATTCTCGTGAAATGTCATGGTAATTTGCGCGGCCGACGCAATTCATCGTCTCCCACCCTCGTTACCCTTATCCCCGATTTTTACCCTTATATCCCTGCCCCACAAACACGTTCACAATTATTATTTATAGCGCGGGCAATTTCATTGATGCAACAACAAAGTTCCGTATCGTTCGAAAATTTTCACGTTCACGCCCTTTATACGCGCGGTAAAAATTTCTTCCTACGTTATTTTCGTCCCGTTTCGTGCCGCTCGATTCACAAGTTCAAGTGGAAAAAGTATGAATGGAGGGCATTGAATCATTGACGAGACAAAGGGTAATCACGAATTCCCCGTGGAATCAAGCCGAATAAAGGATTACACCCTGTCCCGATCCCTGTCCACCGCCGAACCCCTATGAATAATTTAATTAAAGTCGAAATTTCCCCGCACAGATTAGTTTATTTTCGATCTAAATTTCAAATTCAAGTTCCGGCGCGGCGGGCATGCAAATTTCGAAGAGCCGGGCCCGATTAACAGCCCTGTTATACTTCACACTCGCCTTTAACTCGCCGTGTCTTCTAACGCGGAGTTACCAGAGTTTCGAATCGTTTCGAATTTCCCGCTTGATCTGACCGATCGCTCCACCCCTTGAAACATCCCTCCAACGAGGACTTTCGACGAAACTTCCGGAAAATCGTCCGAACAGCTTTAAGTTCAAAGTTACGGGTCTCGAGAGGAGAGAAACTAGGCTCGACGCAGACTAGGCGAAGAAGAGCACGCGTCGAGAGACTCCATTTACTCCTTACTACCCCGTATCATCGGCAACCAGAAGAACGTGATACTGCCCCAGGCGCAGGATTTTTATACTATATATACCAGGCGAAGAGGATGGATTTCACGCTCTTTGTTCCAGCTTTTCCAATTCCACGAAACTCGATATCGGAGGACTCGACGCGTAACCGCGTGACTCGAGCTCGTCCGAATTTCAAATCGATCCCTCTCTGTCCAATTCGATATCGTTCCGATCGACTCAATTCCGTTCTTAAAAATCCTGAAACCTGTTTCGAAGCTGTTCTTCCACGCCTCGGGCCCATCGCGTGGAAAATTATCGATCTGCGGTTCGTAACGATCCAGCCAGGCGGGAATTTGTGAAAAGGGAACGCGACGACTTCCTTTCCTTCTTTAAAAATCGTTTAAAAATTCTGTTTCGATCGCACGGATTCAACCACCATCCACACACTTTTATCCCTCCATGATTTTTGTAACGTATTTTAACTTTGTATCAATGTTTTCGTTCGCTCGTTTATCCCCCTTTATCGTATCGTTCAATTCGTGAAACGGCGCACTTCTCCATGTCGAATTTATTTTCAATACACTTCCCTTCCATTCATTTTTACTGTTGGAGGGAATACAGTATATGGAATAATACACAGCTCGATGATTATCTACACGGATTAACACGTTGACGAAATGGAATAACCTGAGCCTGAAAAATGCTTGGAACGAATGGACGGCATTGCACGGGCATTCAAGGATTCGGTCGAAAGTGGCTGAATATCGTTTAGGAATGACTGAATGGAGAGGGAGAAAGTGAATGTGCAGCCGGTTCAAATAAGGAGATTGAAAGGGAGAGCAGTGACACTTCGCGAGCCCAGGGAACGAAAGTTGAAATCGACGTGACGGGTAATATATAATCGATAGAAAGAAAAAAAATTTAAAAGAATATTCTCATAAAGTCGAATAACGCGATAAACGCTTTATATATGCTTTATATTTTTGTGCAAGCGGAAGCCTTGTAATCTGGACGCCGTTTTTCTATCGTCCCGCGCATCGTTGCCCTCGTAAAGAGAAATTGCATGAAAATACAGTACACGTACGACCGCATGCATCATTTCAGCCTCCCGTGCGTTTCGACGTGACACGACCTCGTAAAAATCCCATCCCCTGGATTTCAACGGGGGCCACGTCGTTTTTATCACGGAATCGCTGTTTCGCGTCAAACCTATTCGACTTTTTCTTCTTCCTTTTCTCTCTCTCTCTATCCACTTAATCTTTCTTGCCGAAATTTTTCCAAATTTTTGAATTTAAAATTCGTCGAATGTTAAAATTTAAAATATTTAACGAAGTTTAATAATTGTGACGAGAAGTTTGTTTCGCTTTGTCGTAAGACGGCGATATAGGGCCCCGTTGAAATTAGGATCGTTGAAAATTTTTCATCGGAATCGAGCGATAAGGAGATCGTCCAACTTTTAACGATATTATCCCAGGGTGGAGGAGGGCACGGCCGTTAAATCGTTTTCTTCTCTCCTTCCCTTCCTCGATGGGGATTCAGAATCGGCCCGAATTGTGAACAAAGGAAAGTTGGATAACGAAACCGTCTATTTGCCCGAAGGGATCGTTTAATTACATCAAACGGGGGCTTCTTTTCAATCTTTCCTTCCTTTCCGACTCGGCAGCCGTTCTTTAAGAACGTTGACTTTAATTAGGGACTGTTCGATTTGAAAAAATTTGGTCGAGACGAGACTGGTAGAGGTGGACGCTATTAGTCGGACGGGCGAAGAAATAAGATCGATGATGGAAGGACGAAGAAGTGGGAAGAACAACTCAATTTATTGTTTCTGTAACTGTATAATATCCACGAATAAATGTTACTCGAGCTGTTATTCTAATAACTAATTACATCGTAATAACTTTCTCTCAACTTTTCAACTCTGTCTTCAAATAATTTTTATCTCCCTCGAAGAAATTTGAATCCTTCTCCCAATAAACGATAACCATCTTTCCAATTCCACGGAACGGGAATTCCAACGAATTCACGATCCTTTATCGACAACCGAGAATATTATAATTAATAAAGAACGGGAAGGGGAGCGGGGACGGAGGAGCGGAAAGGGGACGTTGTCCTCGCGGAAGGGTTGATGCAACGTGGGTCGTGACGTCAGAAGGGGGCGCGATTACGTCAGAGTAGTGCGGCAGACTCGAAGCTTCGCCCGGATGGAGGGGAAAGGAAGGGAAGAGGGAAAAAGGGGTTGAGAGGAAGGGAGAGGGGGGGGACTGCGAAAAGGGAACGCAGTGGTGGGGAGGCACGCGAAATAAGGTCGGCCACCCCGAATTTCATTCATCGGTCACACAGTGGTAGCGGTCTAACTGGATTAATCCTTCTCCTCCTCCTCCTCCTCCTCGTTGTTCAGCCCTGTCTAAGCGACAAAACCGTAAACGCGAATTGATGGTGGCCAGCCGTTTCACGCATGCGTGTGGATTGTTGTGTCGGCGAATTTTTTCCATGGATTTGCTTACCGTAAAATTCTTTTTTTTTTTTTTTCGTCGTCTGGAAAAGTGGAGAAACAATAAGAAGAGTAGATTAACGCGTAGATTTATCCAGATTTAAAGAAAAAGTTTTGTAACTTACTTCAGAATATAAAAGTATTTGGAAAATTTCTTTTTGGGAATTTATTTTCTTTCCGGCTAATTCGAGGACGTTTTAAAAACCACCTTTGACAAAAGAAAAAAAAAAAAAAACAATTTACAGGAAGCGTACGTAAAAAAGACGATAATCGAATTTTCACACAGTCGTCAGCAACTTTTTTCCCCCACCCCCTCTCCTCTTCCATCATTTTCTTTCGCTCGCCAACCACTTGGCGCCAAATTGGCTCGTTAAACTTTTCTCGCGACGCGTATCCCCTTTCTTATTCCCGTCTTCATCTTCTCAGCCAATCTCAAGACCGAAGATCAAGCGTTTTTCTATTTCGCCGTATTGCAAGGGATCGGATCCGACAAAAACAGGGATCGCATCTCTCCTCTTTTTCAATCGTACCCGATTAATTTCACGCTTTATTATTATCGTTGTAAAATGACTTCTGTCCAAATTGAAATTTTGTTGTGAATAATAATAAAATCCTTCCACGTGCGAAAATATGTCAATAACTTTGCTTCCGTCAATTCGAAACAAATTCATGGACAACAAATGATCCAACGAATAACGAACAGTAACATAGTACCGTCGGTCCCCATAATGTTCCCGGATAATTACACGATTTTCCATCCGAAACTCCATGAAAACGATAACAACATCGGTCCATCTCGGTTTCCCAGACTCCGTTCAATATATATACAAATCGAGTGACGCAACGCTTTTATAATCGTTATTAACGCCATCTTTCACGGAACAAAAATTCCCACATTTCCATCGATTCATTCGCATCAAATCGTGTCCCTTACGACGATATTACAACGAGATTTCGTATATCACCAGACCGCCTTTCTCAACGATCCAACGCGTTTTCGCGAATGATTTACGACCGGCGTGAAGAATATCGCATACGGTTGCTCGACCTCACTGTACATTTCGCGATAATTCTGCCACGTTTCGCCAGATATATTCGACTCGGCCACGAATACGCGTTACGTGACTTTCGATCCCATCCCTCAACTATATGAGGGAACCACATATCAATGCCCACGGTAACACGATTTACCGTGTTCGAAATTTACCGTCTCAGAAATT